CTGTTTATCAGCGCGAGTAGAAGTGGCCACTTGTGAAACCTCCATGATAAACACTTGGGGGACAAACCCAGAATGGCTAACAGAGCAGCCTAACCAAATCACTCCTCCCAATTTGATATACAACTCAGACCTCAAAAACCATAGCCTGATGTTCTGACCATGATGTTACCACTCCATCATTCACTCTGACAGTGCCTTCTTGTTAGCCATATTCTGTGGTGTGATGATTGGATTTTGCCTTAAACATCTCCAGTGACTGACACATATCCAGGCACTAAAACAATATTTTTCAGGTGACACTGAGGTTGAATTTATCAACACAATATTAAACATTGCAAAAAAAAAAATCAGAAAGTAACCAGACAGAGGCAATGTTCTGGTTAAAAAAGAGGGGTAACTTCATTGTGTGCTATTAGATGTTAAAATGGTATCATGTTATGATCACACCAGTTTTAACTTTAGTATTAGTGCCTGTAATCAGTGGGCTGATGGACAACAAATTATTAGACAACATCTTCAGCAAGATATATGCTTAAATATAAACGTGGTTGTTTTATCATTTTAAATTACATATCTCAAGTTGACCTTAACATGAAAACAGCTGAGCAGCGCACCTGTTTAGCAGTGTTGACAAAATATTGATCACTTGTCTAGGCGTCACCATGGAGGCTACTGCGAAGGAATGTTGGACAGATAATATAATGGACCATAAATTCCCCTAAGTAGTAACAGGGCTGACTAATTACCACCATGTGATGAAATTTCTGATCAAAGGTAAAAGCAGTGAAAGTCTAAGAGTTGGTCAACGCATTTTTCTTCATTGAAAAAAAAAAAAAAAGAGCTTTCAGTGAAAATGCAGACACAGCATGTTTCCACTCATCGCCTCGCTTTTGTCCTATGTGACATCAGATGAAACGCTTTGCTCATTCTTGACTTGGGTGGATGTTCAGAGGCCTTAATCTCACTCTGTATATGGGTGTGTGTGTGTTTGTGGGTGTGCTGAGAATCAAAGTCTTCCCTTTGGTCTAATCCACCTATTTTGTTCCAGGCCACTGTTCAAATTCAAGGTAGAAAAGTGCAGAGAAGGCAACGTTTTGCCTTCTTGGTGTTTTACCTGCTGAGTCCAGAGACTTACCAGGCCTGAAGGACTCTGTTTCTTTAACCCTGTCCCCAAGCATGTCTCTGGCCAGCACAAAAGCCATCTGGGGTGCGGCTGAGAGCTTAAGCAACAAAATAACTCTTTCAAGCTGCACTCTGCATGGTTCTGACTGCAGGGCGCTGAGGTCGCCAATACCAAGACTCTGACTGGACCTCCTCCTCCTCCACCCTTCTAATCCTGGCCTACATGACTGACTCCAACTGAAAGCCCCACACGCCAGAGGTGGGAGCCAAAAGCACTGTCAGCTACAAAAAAAAAGTCCACCTGCTCATCAAACTAAATTGCACTCACAGAAGGAAATGGAGAATAAAGAGAATGAAAAGGAGGGGAGCAAAAGAAAAAAAATGAAAGGCAAAGCAAGTCACCATACGTCCTCTGTGATCTTAGCAGACAAAAGAACAAATTGCATTTCTGCGTCATGGCACTGAGGGTCACAATTGGCATAGGGTTCCACTCAGCACTGTTTGTATGTGAACATGCTGATATAGGTTCCATCAGTTCCCACAAAAGAGCCAGAAAGGTGTACAAACCCACCTTTCAGCCTTTCATCTTGGTTTCTTTTGTATTCTGTTACATTTGTGTCTGTTGTCTCTCTCCTCTATTGGGTAGAATTGACTGTTATTATTCCAAACAGCATTATCTTTATTAATGCCACAGGTCTCCGGACTGTGCACTCCCAGGGAGTCGGGTCTGGACAGAGCTGCAACCAATCTCCCTAGATAAAAGCTCAGTGGAGAGCTGTATGCAAGCCAGACAGTTCGAACAAGCCTTTATCCTCCCTCCTCATTCTCAGAGAGAGGGATAGGCCCTACAAAGACTAAGATATGACTTTAATCTTAGCACTTTCAGTCAGACAGGAACATTTGAACTGAGAGCAGGTCTCTAGAAGGCTATCAGAGTCACTTTGGGTTAGCCACTAGTCAAAACAAACAAATTGCAAATGCATTTCTGCAATTATTTACAGAAAGAACGATTTCTATAATGATGAAAAGTTTTAAAAATTGGAAAATAGAGAGAGAAAAGATTTGAAATCACAAAACTATACTATCTGATGATATGGTTTATGACGGTGCCCTTCATTTCTACTGTGGCTAATAATGTTGCTGTGCACCAGGCGCTGAGGCCATTTCCCAAAGGCAGTCATGCATGATGAGTTATTTTAAAGGTGGTGTGGAGAGCTGACGTGTGGCCAGGCCAGGGCAGGGCAGCCGCTGGGGTCTCGGCTTAGTGCCTCAAGCCCCTCGCTTCAGTGAGGCACACAGCATCAGCTCCCGGCCAGGGCCCGGACACTGATTTATGGGACAGGGGGATTACCATCAAACCAGCCATGAGGACCACCCAGATGGTGACCGAGGATGACAGCCGCACAAACACACACAGGCATACATACATGCAAATTCCAATATACTTATACAGTCACTAATATGTGCATTGTAACACATATGTACCAATAAACCCCAGATAATGACACAGTACATACATAATGACCCTATATCCAAACAAAAATGTTCTTTTAGGTGCAGTAAATATTGCAAATTTAAACTCTCTGGGAAAACACAAGCATGGAAAGCTGCACGTTGTGTGATATGGCTCTCTTCCTCACTCAAGTGCAACGGAGGAATTAGTTCACTGAGGCTTCCTCATGACCACAAAGCAAGTGAGGAAGTTCATCTATGTCTACAGGATGTGACTGGTTAGAAAACTAATTTGGTTCAAGCACGTCATACATTTTCTTTTTTCTTTGCATTACGAATAATTGAAGACTGATGATTGGTGTTATTTTCTATCTTAACTGACCGTGGTCTGAAACAAGAACTTTTTGTGTAGCTACAGATGGTGAGCAGAAAGGAAAGGCAGCCCTTTCTCTCAAATTGGTGATATTCAACTTGATCATGTTTAATAATTAATTTACTCAATGCAGATTTGCAATCGTCTCACTTCACAGATACCGTCCTTAATACTTTCCCACTGAGTCATTATTTCATTCGAAAAAGTGCAAAAAGAAAAGAAAAAGAAGAAGAAAAACACATATTTTTCACTTGCCAGGGCACAACACAGCTCAACCCCAAGGCACCAGTTGGATGAGTTGAACAATAAGAGTCAATGACAAATCGGATGTGGTGCATTCCTTGGGCAAACACGGTTCTCATAAAGGGAGACAGGTAGGCAAACACTCACCTGCCCTGAGCTAATAACACATGTGGGGGCGCGCACACACAAACACACTCACATACATACACTTGAGCTTGTCAGTATGTTGGGACAACGGTGGGAACAAGACGACACAAAACTGTGGTTGCATAAAAACAGCTTTACTTAAATAATAATAAAAAGACGATCTCAGAGGGAGCCACATGTAACATTTTAATTTCAAGAATCACCATATCGAGAGGAATGATGAGATGTTTGTTTTTTATTTTTGCATTACTGTGCTATGTAAAGCAATGCGTTATATTGGTACGCAGCTTAGTGTGTATGTTGCCTCTTCTGTTTAGGGTTCCCTTAATCACAGCATAAACAAAAATGTTGTTAACCAAGGCTATCACAATCGCTGCAGGAGGAGGATTTAAGCAGCTTACCCAAAATACATTTTACAATAAGTTGCACATGTAGATCTGGACCTAGAAACAACGTAGCCCTCTCAAAACTACTTTGTCCATACCCATTTCGGATGGTATGCAAAAACGTTGAAAAGTGGCTTTTGTGTCAGGAAATCATTGATGACTGTCCTTACTTTTCTACCAAACAAATGGCACACACTTTTCCCTTGAAGCCCTCTATCCGAGCAGAGCATAGCAAAACTCGAGAGACAGAATCACTCTACACAGTGGGATGCACCCCTCAACACTTCCTGACCATGTGACTCCCTCCAGCTGCCTTTTGATTGGATGCTCGGCGACGGAGGGGATGAAGAGAAGAGGAAACGGTAGCGGCGGAGGGTGGCGAGTAGCTGGCTGGCAGCGGACACATGAGAAAAAAAACAACAAATTCCTTGCCCCATTGCCATGGAGATGAGTCAACAGCAGGTCGAGGAAGAGCAGAGAGGGCTGGGGGGTGCGGGGCACTGGCTGACCTGCTGTAGTTAACAATTCATCCCTGTATCCGGCTCCCAAATGATTGGGCAAACATGGGGTGCTGCGGAGGCAAAAGGGCCCCAAGGGGCTGAGAGAGGGGCATCACCCTGGGGTGACACACTGACAGGCAAACACTGGTGGGTAGAGAGTGGACCAGCTGAAAGAGAGAGTAAGGGATAGGGGCTACCAGTGAAGGAAGGAGGGGGCCTGATGGGATTGTGAGAGAGTGGCTAAGCACACAGAGTACTGCAGGCTACAGTGCAGTCACAAAACAGTATTGATGGCTGTACCCTTGCAAAGCAGTGCAATTAAATGATCTGTGTTAAGATGCCATTTTGAGGATGAGAACAATCATTTAAGTACACCACAACAAACATCACCCAGTAAATTCTGTTTCAGTTGTTCATGTTAAGTTAAATAGTTAACAACACTTGGCTACCAGTTGCGCCAACAGTAAAAGTAGGAGTTGCGTCAGTTTTATAAGCCTTAAACCACAGTAACACTGTAAGTCTCTGGCATATATCCACTTTGTTCCAGAACGTATTGCACATCTGGGTGAGCCACAAAAGCTGCAAAGCACTGCAAAAACACTACTGAACACAAAAGCTTGGAGGGGACATAGCATCACTCTATGGCAACTAATGTAGCCCAATAAGGACACATGATTAAGCAGAGGTTTCTACACAGCAAAGGTTTACAGGAAACAACTTTGACGCCCAAACACCACAAGCAAAACGAGACATTTTGCAGTATCTTTAAAAACTCACCAGAAGATCGTTGGGAAGCAATTAAAGGTCGACATCTCATTCGAAGAGCCTGGATTCCTTCACTGCATAAAAAAATGAGAAGAGGACAAACGTCACTGCTGTACATGCTAACTAGTTATTCTCCATTTGTTCAGCTGGGTTAAATTTGGTGAAACAGTGTAACAGGATGTAATATGAGGTATGAATGAAAAATGGTTCCACAGGACAGAGTTCCATAACACTGACCACTTCACAGTGGAGCAGGGTGCCGTCCATAATGGACCAGAGACAGAAATAACAGATGAGCGATGGGTGGATCTCATCAATGTCACATCATACAGAAGAAGAACCGCAAAGGCTTCAACACTGTACTTATAATGAGCCAGACTTTACGTAGTGTTAGGTTTTGTCTAAGTCAGCAGAAGTTCTCATAACTTTATGCACTGTCACAACTTGGTTTGCTCCCCAGAATGGCAAACCAAATCCCATTATCCAATTGGCCGTCTAACTTTGAAGAGGTTGAAATGTCACCATTACAACAGACCCTTAACTGGGCAGCAGTGTACGGAGGGTGTGTTAGCAGAGAGGACCTTTTACTGGTTCTCCAGTCTTACTCACGTCAGAGCACAGTGTTTTCAAAAACACTGCTCAAGCATGCCCTTCCTTTAGTGGGAATTAGGATCCTCTTAATAATAATCCACCCAACAAATCTTATAAATGAAAAACAGAACAACTTTTACAGCGTGCAAGTGAGAAAAAAAGAGAGAAAAGAACAAAAACAAGGGGAAAAAGTATGATTATGATAAAAATAGCAGATGTTAAGAGTCACTTCTCGAAAGGTGTGTCATTCAGGGAGTTTGGGCCAAAGTTTTGGCTGCAGCCGAGCTCTAAATTTAGCATATTCACTAAAATAAAAAGTGAGTTCAGCTGCTGGCACTGGAACTTTCTCCTCCCCATTCATGACCTCAGTGGTTCTGCCGGCGTCACTCGTGACGAAACACTAACCATATAAAACAACAAAAAGAGACCTCCTCAAATACTCAGTACATAAGGAAACAGCCACAATTTAATGTTTCCTGTAAATGATCTTATTATGGCAATCCAGGTCCAAAACAACTGTAAAATATAGTTTTCTGCTTTCTAAATTTAGAACGGAGTTTGGACATAAATTATCTTTTACATAAGAAGTTTACAGAGAACACAGTGTCCAGTTTGATATTTACTAATTGCCACTGACAAGAAGCTAAAACCTTTTTCCTCACTTTCTGTGCATGTATGCTTTACTGTGTGCACATAAAGTGAAGAAAATATCACAGTGTGTGTTTACTGTATCCATGCATACTGCAGATGAGCCTGTGTGTGGCAGGCTGGGGGAGGATGCCCCTGGGCCAAGCTGAAGAGTAAGTGAAGCAGAAGTCCCACCTAAGCTCAAAAGCATGCACGTATCAGGCCTGTAACTAAAACACACGCATAAACACGGGCGATGTTAGGGATTACACCCTGCAATACTGCCGCAGGAAATCACAGACAGCACAGGTGTAACCATCACCACGGATGCATTCTTCCCCGTCTCCATTCTGCCCGTGGAGGTCTGACTGACAGCTCGTCATCTTCTGTTGTTGGCTGCGTGAAACTTGTGTAAACATCTGTGGGCGTTCATGTGTTTATATGTGTGTGTGTGTGCATGAGTGTGATCCACAAGTAGGGAAAACACACACACAAACACACACATCGAGGGATTACAATGGCCTAATGTCATGTCAAAGAAGCCTCGCAGCACAATACCACACATTCTTTTAAAGACCGTAAAATGTTTCCTTTAAGATAAATGTCTCCTGTTATATTTTTCACTGTTCCTTGATTTCCTTAGTCGAGACTGATTTGACATCGACATTTTCACCAATCTACTCATAGCAATATCTGCACAGAATTATGTTTTTCATTTTTAATTTAAGATGTCATGTTTGTTGATGGGATATGTTTAAAATTGTATATTCAGAAATCCTAAAGAATAACACTTTGAGAGGGCTGCGGGGAGGAAAAGAGGAAGAAAGCACATTTCCTCAGTAAACAGCACCCTCTAGAGCAACGCCCCACATTCAGTCCTGCAGCTCGCTCTTGGTTTTGAGTCTGTGCAATTAGAATTATGCACATTCGTCGGCAACAACTACTTCATATAAAATGCCAACAATTCTGATAGTTTCTCAGATTTTTAAAATGGAAAAATCTGACAAATTCACATGCTAACACTTACCTTTTTTTTTTTTTTTTCTGGAAAACACCAAATAAGCAGGTTGTCTTGTTCTCTGGCTTATTTGTGAGCCACATTACAGAGGTGAGGTTGAACCACTCATTTTCCCAATGTGAGTTGATAATGAGGGAGGCTGTTATTAAGATGTTTGCTTTAATCGTGTGCAGGGTTATTAGGTGCGGTTTACAGTACACAAGAGAGATTAAGGTAGGCCACGCATGACGGAAAGAGCTGAGGAGGCCAACGATAAGCCAGCATACCCACAACTGTGAAGCCGGTTGAGAAATATGAGCGCACAGTAGGACGTGAAACCCAGCAAGACAAACCATTTTCCTCTCTCTCTCTTTTTTTTTTTCTATCTCCCTCTGTCTCATTTACTCTCTTTGTTCGCCTCCAATCATGTTACACAACCACAAAGGAATGCCTTGTATATCAGAGACAGATTTAAAACAAGCGGAAAAGAAAAGAACAGCAAAGAGCGGATTGCGCAGGGATCTATAGAAGCAGTAGGTGTTTTTTTTTTCTTCTTCTTCTTTTTTTGGATTCCTTTATTTTTGTGTAGAAGAAAAACATGGCAGGGAGCTTGGCAGAATTGTAAAGGCCCACTGCAGTGACACACAAGTCCAGACACATACGCACCTAACTACTTCACACATGCTTATATAAACTAAATCGGGCTGAGACACAAGGCACTGTGCACTACCCGGGGAGCACTACATGTTTTCTCGATATTTTTCCGTGCCATTAATAAAAATAGACATTGCACTGTTTCATTACATTTTGTTGGAATTAAGGGAGTACTTGAAAATCCATCATTTTATGAGCTTTCAAAGTTTCCCACAGAATTCCCACCATTTTTCCATGCATTTGACCCATGCACATTAAAGTAGCACTCAATTAGGTCAAGCACATGCAGTCGTAACGGGGCACTCACATGCTGCTTTAACATGACATACAGAAACCACCACCTATGTTCGTGAGGCCTGTGGGGTATTAAAAAACAATGCTGTTGCCTTACATGAACACAATGGAAAATCATTTTTTTAACTGCAGTCAAAAGGTCGTAATTTTGAATGTGGTTTAAATGCAGGACAGAACTGAGCTGAACTGCGCAGTGAGATCTGGAGGATCGACATGCTCACACTATTTATCCTGAAAGACTAAATACTTTGATATGAAACAGAAGTCGGATTTGGTTTGCGTCAACATATCTGCGTCTTTGTTGCTTTATTTTATCTAATAATCCCAGGATTTAAAAAACCATTTCACACATCCTCTTGCACTGTGCTGGTAAAAGGTGTGTGTGTGTGTGTGTGTGTGTGTGTTTGTCTATGTGTGTATCAAGTTAGCAGAAGGTCAGAGTGGTGAAGTATTAGAACACTGTTTGCTCTCTTCCATGTACTCTTGGGGACCAGCCTGTTTGAGAGTTTGAACAGTGACGTGTGAAACCCGTAAAAACAGGACATAGCGCCACTCTGTTTGCTTAAGAACACCCAAAGAATGGCCTGCCATTACAAAACAAATCTCTCAGCCTGCATTCCTCCTGTCCATCAAACCCTACCTGTTGAACAAGATATGACATAGAGTGGAAAAAGGTAGTTGCAAGAACATCTACTTTATGGTGGGATGACTTGCAATTTGTTAAAAGGTTGTCAGCTCTCCTGACCTTCATTTCTGACCCGCAGAAAGAGGCATGTATCCACAGGTCTGTCTTTCTCTATGCGCAAGTGTACACAGTCACACACTCCAGGAGGTAAACAGGAGCACAGTGTCCCCTCTGGACATCATTTGTTATATTCAAATGGAATGAAACTTGATGCAAATCTACTGTGGTATTTATAAAGATTTAAAAAATTAAGCTGGAAAAAACTATAAAGTACTTTGCACGCACTGTGTTTTCAAAATTCATTCATTGTTCACATCATTTTTTGATAAGAAAAAAAAGCAAAACAACTAAAGTTCAGTGGCTAGAATTGTGGAGAGTTCATGTTTTCTCACTTTAATATTATTGAAAATAAATATTTGGGGGATTTCTGGTCTTCCAGTTTCAGGAAATTGTGATAGACATTTTAAAGACTAAACTGCAAATCACAAAAAAAAACAAAATTGTTCATGAAAATGATTATTAGTTGAAGTTGTAATATGGTAGTCTCTTTCCTTCTGTGAGTTTTGATAGGTGATCTTTTGATAAACTGTATCTTACAAAACACCGGTTTATTGTGCCCTTTTTGCTGTCCAGCATCTGTTATTTAAAACCTTTAAATGTTTTTTTTTTTCAGCAGAGACACTTGAACTTCTCTTATGTAACATGATTCAAATTGTGAAAACAAATTGATGGATGAGATAGTAAAGTTGGGGTGACACTTGGTGGAAATACACCAACTGGAACAGAAAAAGGAGAGAGAGGCACTACGAGATTCCAGCCCCACTCCCCTCCCTGCCATCATCCTCGTATCAGAGGAGCCACTGGGAGAACTGGATGTGATTTGTATGTGTGTTTTTGAAGAGGGGTGCTCATAAACAGCCATGAAAGGGGCCCCTCTATTCAACCCGCCAGCCGAGATGCGCTTCACTGAGCCAGCCTTTTGTTTTCCCCTGTTCACAAAAACTTAGGCATAGAGAAAAAAGGCGTTGATTCTCTCGATGTGTGCAAGCCCAAATGATGCCATTAGATTGGATGCCTGCATTGGGTGAAAAAGGCTTCAGTAGCGCTTGAAGTGATTTAAAAGATGCAGGAGAGAGCTGCCCGCAAATCCTGTTTGAGAATAACACTGGAGGAGAATGGGGAGGCAAAATGCCAAGCTAGTGATCATTCTATAGTGTGCAAAATTG